GTAAAAAAAAAAAAAATTCTGTTTAGTTCATTCCCAGACCTTTTGGGCAAATACATTGTCAGTAAATAAATGCATTTTTTTCCCCATAGAAAAACCTTTGTTCAGTCAGAAAACGTGTTCTTATTCTTTTTAGGGTCTTTGCTATGAGAATTACTATTTAATACCGTACACCGCGAAACCGTCAAACCATGGTATTGTTTTAGACGATTATCATACCGTAAAAAATTCATACCGTTACAACCCTAGTCATAACAAACAATGTCATCTTTGCATTTAAGCTCAATGACACATACTATAACGGTAATGACACAGGCTCAAACACACAGACACACACACACACACATTCTCACACAGACATACGATCACACACGAATACGCTCACACACAAATGCACGCACACACAGACAGACATACCTTTGGTGTTCTGTTGTTTTTTGGCAGCGGCTGCAGCAGAGTCCTCCGACTGAGCCAGACGTCGCAGCACATCGGCCAGCGCAGCCTTCATGTCGGTCAGCTCATCCTCCTGCTGCTGAACCCGCAGCTCCAAAGACGACAGCCGGTCCTGCACGTCTGAGGCGCTCGCTGCAGATATACTGTCATCTGCAAACACACAGATTTACATTAGATTAGATTACATTTAGTCATTTAGCAGACTATATTACATATTATATTCACACACTTATAAGAAAACGCTAAAACAAAAACCGCTAAATTCGATAATTCCTAATAATAACTCCTGTACAGCAGTCCCACAACATTCTGACACTCGATGACTGTCGAATACCCTGTCCGAAAAGTCTCGTGGCTGGGAATGATTTGTTTACAGTGTCTGCTATAATGTTACTGTTGTTTTGGGTGTATTTACATAGATGAATATGGCCACAGTAAATGCACAGTGTAGTTACGATCTTTTTGCCATATTATATCGTTGTGATAACATAATATGTCCTCAGTGATTTGCTATAGATAAATACCAAGAATAAAGCAACTGGAGCAGTCGCAATTATCGATCTCGTATGAAGTGAGATTTGTTATTGTGCTGTTTTATTTCTTAGGGGTAAAACTGAAGCCTTTCTCCTTCACACTCTGTTTCAGGGGCCAAAAGGAAGGGGTAAAAATGGAACTGGGATTGGGCCTAAGTGTTGACAGAATCTTCATTTCTGGGTGAACTACTTCTTTAGTGTTTGTGTGAACTCTTCCAGTAAGTGCAGCAGTGTTGTTGGAGCTGCAGTACATTAGAGTACATTAGCGTCGGGTTTGGGACGGGGCACTGGATGGTGCCGAACGCTGCCAGGCATTACTGTGGTCAGGACTTTGATTGCTGGACTGGTTCCCTCATCGAGGAGGCCCAGCGTTCTGAGCTGCGGTTAGAGAGATTAAGGGGCATCAAGTACAATATAACAGCTCAAACTCTCACACAGCAACACATCTCTGATCCAAGCTTGAAACCAGACCATAGGACGTTTTTACACCCCTTATAAATCACTGGAAGTGCTCACACTCGCACCCACACACACACACACACAATGAGAGCAAACAAAACATGTGAGCGCAAATACGAGAAGCCCAATTTACCACAGCACACATCCAGAGCTAGAAAAATGCTCGCATTCCAGCCGTTGCTTTAAAGATAACGAAGCCTCAGTTTTAAGGTCAGGAATGTCCTGGCAAACACAGACAGACTCTCTCACACACAGACACACTTGTTCCTTTATCCCAGTAGGGACTCTCATAGACGTAATGATGCTTCTACTATACAAACTGTATATTCTAGCGATGCCACGGTTCCCAATATAATATTGAACCATTCTCCATTGTTCAATTCACGCTTGTGAATTGCGGTTTTCTCGATTTTGCGTTTAAATAATTTATGTGCATTTTATATCTCCCCGAATTGACTGTGTGTGCCTGTAAGTCTATGAGAGGAGATGAGAAAACTCCTCCCCGTAAATATCCAATCACTATGCTTTAAAGTTAGGGGGCGCTTGACCATCATTCCACACTTTAACATAGCAAGCAGCGGTGATGTGAGGCAACAGTACGAGAAAGCACCGGCGTCTTTCAAATCTGCGGTGTGAGGACATTTCGGTTTTGTCGTTAAGTACAATGCCAATAAAAAAAAAACGGTGAACAAAAAATAACTGTGCAAGCATTGTTTTACATGTATAACAAGAGCGGTGTTGTCGCGCGCCTAATGAAGGGCGGTAGGGGGGAGGGGGGGTGTCGCGGGGGCACTTTTGATCATTTTGGAAGGGCACTTTCTATCTAAGACTAAAAAGGGCATGTGCACTGCACAGGTTGAGCCCTATGTGCCTGTAACCATGACTGTACATCTGCAGCGCCATCACCCAGCAATATCCCTGTCTGAAGGCAGGAGAGCAGAGAAGCTAATAAAGTCCTCCAAATAGCAACAATCCCTTGCTGAATCCTTCAAGCAAACATACCCAACTGGTTCCAAGAGACACACAAAAATAACAAAGGCAGTGCGGGTGTTATTGCTGAAGATTTGCAGCCATTTTCGGTGATTGGAGATGTGTGCTTTTGTCATCTTATAAAAGCACTCGATCCGCGTTACAGACTACAGTCTCGCATTTTTCAGCACCGAGATAATTAGGATGGTTTATTTATGTTTACTGAAGTACAAATATGTTTATCTGAAATGGCCAATTCATCTTTATTAGCTTCACATTAAGGGTGTCACGATCCTCCAAATCCTCGATTCGATTCGATTTTCGATTATGAATAATTAATTAATTAATGACCAATTAATTATTTGTAGCCTACCGTTTAAACTACCTGACCTGCATGGTCTTTGTTTTACCCATAAACAAATCATACAGTAAATGAATAAAGGCAGGATACGCACATAATTACCACCTGTCAATTACTTTTTCTGCAGGACTCGTGAATAGGCAGTGATCTGTGTCGTTATAATGGCATCGGTAAAAAAGACGCACAACCAACAGGAACCAGCCAACAGTATCTGAGGTGTTCGCTAAAATGACTAAGTACAAGTGAGTGAAAGATTGAAGCAGTCCTCTGACTGCCTGGACCTGCTGTCTCGAGCGCATGGCTGCGTGTGTGTCTGTGTCTGTGTGGTCACGTGATGTGCATTTTCAGAGGTAGAGGAAGGAGGGCTGCTCAGAAATGCTACACGCCACTATGGATGTCAAATCGTCGTTCTAAAATGCCATTTCAAAACAAAGACAGTGTAAACAGGGCCTGAGTGTGTACCTTTTCGCGAGCGGATTTGCAACGGGGGCGGGCGGAGGATCGCTATGGCGGTGTTGTCTATCGGACGAACCGTACGCAATACGTACATAGCAGAGCTTGCAAAACTGTGTTTTTTTTTTTGTCGACAACACGAACGTTGTCAACATAACTCACTGGAAATCCAAAATGCTTACACACCGGCGACTTCATTGAAAGAGGAGAGGGTTTAAGCTCTGTCGACGGGTCTCCTGCTTCTGCAGTTTAACAAGCACTACAACAAGCCTGTTTTTTCCCGCTTGGCAAGCCAAGCTAACGTGACATGGGGCGTGGCAGCATCGACGATTCTATTTTTTGATTTGATAATCGAAATTGAGCATAAATTTCGATCAATTTCGATTAAAAATCAAAATCGTGACACCCCTACTTCACATGTATGTTTATTTTCAAAGTGTAGGATTTTATGTGTTCCCCAGTTTGTACATGGGCTACCAGCAGCTGTGAGATTTCAGTGTTCCTTTTTTTACACAATAAACAAGGAACTAGTGTACTTTTCTTGGCTTTTAAGTAAAACAAAATGAGTATTGCAATAAATCGTTTTTATTTTTTTCTCCTTAACTTCTTACCGTTTCTTTTGCCTACAGAATAAAACAATAACAAAAACAAGTGTCAAGCCATAAGAACCGAACCGAAAACCGTGGTAAAAAACTGAGGTATGTATTGAACCGTGGGCTAACTGTATTGTTAAATCCCAAGTATATTCTATATGCTTATTTCACGCATTTGCCATTTAAAAAAAAACGAAAGTGAGGCTGGGGTGGGAAGAAACCCGAAAGTGTAGGATCAGCACTGTAAACATTGCAACAACATGCTGTGGACTACAAACCTCCAGCTGTTGCCGCGATTTCAGAATACAGAGGTGGTGTAAACATCAATTTAATATCATTCAGTAAGGGGGCCTGACACCAAATTGCAGACCTGAATTTCGAATGCAAACATTGCGATTTCAATTCAGTGTGCAGCCCTACTCAATAACTGACCAAGAAACTAAAAAGCAAACATCTCAAGGCAAGCAGGAAGTAGTCAATAAACGCAAAGCCTGCAGGTCTTGAAATGGCGCAATATTTCATTGGCTTTCTCTGCCCGCGGTTTCCTCCCAGTCTGCAGGTCTTTCCTCTCCAAGCGTCTTATCTCAGAGGCCCGCGGAAACACGGAGAGGGCAAACGTTTAAAACACAATGCGTTTCTTTCAGAGGAAACTGCTTTGGGAGGTTGTTCGATACTGGCAGAGCGTACGGAAAAATAAAAAACGAGAGAAAGACAGAAGAGGGGCTGGAAGGTGGCGGAGTATCCCCAGGTAACCTCCAGAATGGGGTGCACCAAAGAAAAACTGCAGATAAATGAACTTTGCTTCACATTTCTGCACATAATTCCTCACAGGCTAAGAGGAAGGAAGGCCTACGCACATGTCATATTTCACAATAGCTCGTCACATTCCTATGATTTCTCCCCCCATTCCTTCTGCACGTACACACACCTCTGACCAAACACACATTAGAGCTCAGAGTAAGACTCGTTTGCAGTGTAATATAAATAACCAATTTCTAATAGCGGATTTCTTTTATCTTTGCCATGATGACGGCACATAATATTTGACTAGATATTCCTCAAGATACTAGTATTCAGCTTAAAGTGACATTTAAAGGCTTAACTGGGTTATTTGGGCAAGTTATAGTTATTAGGCAAGTCATTGTATAACAGTGGTGTGATCTGTAGGCAATAAAAAATATTGCTTAAGAGGCTAATAATATTACCTTAAAATGTAAAAAAAAAAAATAAAAACCTTTTTTTTTTTATTCTAGCCGAAATAAAACAAATAAGACTTTCTCCAGAAGAAAGAATATGATAGGAAATACTGTGAAAAATTCCTGAATCTGTTCAACATCATTTGGGAAATATTTGCAACAAAAATTCACAGGAGGGCAAATCATTTTGGCTTTAATATTTATGACATGCTAGCATGTAGGCTAAAACAACGGTATGAACAAGAAATGCAACCTGTGTCTTTTATTTTTCTCCCGTACAAAAAATACATCCTTTAAAGTACATCAATAGTCATTAAAATGCATTTTAAATGATATGAATTAAAAGCAAGCAGCAACCTCCTATCATGAAGCTATACTGAATTAACTGCAATTCATCGACTGGCCACTGGGGGCTTGCTAAAGATGCAAGCAAATCCTCATGGACTTTCAATGTTAAAACGCCCAAATTTACAGCAGAAAAAAAGGTAATACTACACTTCATGACAACTGTAAGGGGGTGAATTGTTTTATAACTCACTACATTTATAAAAGAGACTCCAGCTTTGTTTGTATGCTAATGCTAAAT